AATTCTGACTTTTTTCTTAGAATTCTGACTGAATTCTGACAATAAAAAAGTCAGAGTTCTTAGATTAAAGTCAGAATTCTGAGATTAAATTCAGAATTCTGACTTTTTTCCGATACTAAACTGAAATAAAATAAAAAAAAATCAGTTAACTTTTTTTTTTTCAGTGGCCCTAATCCTCTTCCGTATAGTAGGGCCAGGCTAGAGATCTTTTCTTCTTTTTAAATAAGAGAATAAAGTCTTAACATTATGAGAACAATGTTCTTACATTATAAAGTCGCAATATTACAAGAATAAAGTCATAATATTAGGAAAATAAAGTTGTATTTTATGACAACTCTTGTAAGAAGCATGTTTTCCCTAAAATAAGGAATGTTGATTATCTTGTAAAGTTATACTTTGGGATCGGTTTTACAAATAAGGAAATATTAAGTCTTTTAGGACATGAGCATCACATTATTATCAGTATCAGAACTTTGCAACGATTGTGCAAAGGACTATGAGCTCCAAGCTTTCTTTCTGAAACAGGTCGTGGTATGATGACTTAATTCTCGTAATTTTATTACTTTATTTTCATAATATTAGGTCTTTACTCTGATAGGGGTATCTGCCCAGCTGACCAGAAACGTCCTCTCCAGTGTTAAAAATAAATACAGCCATTTATGGCATGACGTCTATTCTATTATTGCAGAATGTTTTGTGATTGGATGCAATGTTTGTCCCCAAAGGCCCAACAGGAAACGCAGAGGGCGGCGCTGAGGTATGAGAGGGCTGTGTCCATGCACACCGCTGCCAGAGAGATGGTGTATGTGGCAGAGCAGGGACTGCTGGCCGACAAGAGCAACCAGGACCCCACATGGCAGGAGATGCTCAACCACTCAACCACCAAGGTAGCAGCTCCGCCTCTGCAGCGTCTCTGTCCCCATCTGTTTGGGGATTAACACTCTGTACTCATAGACGCCCACTTTATGAAGTCTCATTAACTTGATTAATAGTTTTCCAGGTTTGTTGAGGTTTACCTCAGATCTACAGCTATTTTTTTTTAGTTCACGTCTTTCCATCTGAACCACATGGCAGACTGGAAGACTTAAGGTTACTAAAGCATCGAGCTTCTTAAACAGCACCTTTTTAGTGCAATTTCCTGAGGGAGTTGCTGAATATCTCATCTATCCTTAGGAATAGAAAAACATCTGAGATGACTCCAATTTCCTGTTCATCAGAATCACTTCATTAATCCTTTGCAGGAAAGTCTTTTCTTGCAATGCAACCGTTTACAGAAGAGAAAAAAATAAGACAGCAGTAAGTTTAAGAATAAAATAAGATAAAATAAGGATAAAATGAGATAAGAGACATTTAAGAATAAAATAAGATAAAATAAGGATAAAATGAGA